CATTGAACACCTTCAAGAGCAAACTGGATGCTTATCTTGCTGGGATCCTATGAACCCAGCTGACTTCCTGCCCTTTGGGCAGGGGGCTGGACTCGATGATCTTCCGAGGTCCCTTCCAGCCCTAATGTCTATGAAATCTATGAAATTCAACAAGGATAAATGCAAGGTGTTGCACCTGGGGAGAATGAATCTCCATCACACCTATAGACTGGGGAGTACCATCTGAGCACCACAACAGTGGAAAGAGATCTCAGAGCTGTGGCTGACGTGAAAATGAACGTGAGTCGCCAGTGTGATGAGGGAATAAGCAAGGCTAACCGCACTCTTTCTTGCATCAGCAGGAGTATCACAAGCAGGTCTAGGGAAGTGATAATTCCCCTCTATGGGGCACTGGTGAAGCTGCAGATGGAGTATTGTGTCCAGTTTTGAGCGCCGCACTTCAGGAGGGATGTGGATAACCTTGAGAGGGTTAAGAGAAGGGCTACTCGTATGGTTGAGGGCTGCAGGTAAGACCTTATGAAGGCAGACTGAGGGATCTGAATCTCTTCAGCCTCCGCAAGAGAAGTCTGAGAGGCGATATTGTGGCTGCCTACAAAGTCATCGGGGGGGGCGAGCAGGGAATAGGGGACACTCTGTTTATCAGGGCACCCTGCAGGGTTACCAGAAATAATGGCCACAAACTGAAGGAGAACAGATTTAGATTGGACATAGGGAAGAAATTCTTTATGGAAAGGGTTGCCAAAATATTGAATGGGCTCCTAAAGGAGGTGTGGTGCTTTCCCCTACCCTGGAGATGTTCAAAAGGAGATTAGACTGGCATCTGGCTGGGGTTACCTACCCCCAGCACTTTTTCTGGCCTGGAGCAGGGGGTTGGAGCAGATGATCTACCAGGTCCCTTCCGACTCTAGAAATGTATGAAATCTATGACGCTGTGCTGGGAGAGCTGGACCTGCAACCCAAGCATGCTCATGTCACAGACAGTGAGCCCAGCCCTCTGCTAGCTGGCCTGAGAACAGCTGTCAATCCCCGCTGAGCTGCGCTGGGTTCGACATCAGCTTGTGACCCCAAGATGTCAGGCTGGGCACTGGAACATCCCCAAGGCAAGCAGAGCTCCTGCAAGGGGCTGAGGCGAATGTGGAGCCAGAGATATCATTTCCTTGTCAGGACAGCCTCAGCTACAGCCTCCTTCTCCCCCACCAACACTCGTCACACCCTACAGGGTGGTGGTGCCCGGGTCACGGCTGCTGTGGCTCAGGAGACAAGAAAGTGTGTGCATTGTCCCGTGCCGGAGGGTAGTGCGCTGTGTACCCTGCATTTGCTGGAGTGCCTCACAAGCAGATGCTTGTCCCCCGTGCTCATCCACAGGCTGCTTCTGTCAGTGCAAAGGTGCCGTGTCAACATAACAGCACAGCAGAGGTTTTGCATTGGCCTGGATACCAAGAGCCAGCTCCTCCGTTTCCTTCTTTTGAGTGTCTTGGTTCTTGAATGGAGCTGGCTCTTCATTCAAAACCTGCTCCTCACAGGTTACATGAGAACAGGAGGTTGGGGTCAGGGTGGGCAAACAGCAAGCCATGACCACCCAGTGCGATGCTGTGAGGAAATGCCCCAGGGACATGTGAGGATGCATAAGCAACAGAGATGGGCAGTGATGTTGCCTTTTGTACAGTGTTGGTGAGACCAGTGTTGGGAGCCAGACCCAGATCCAGCGGTCACATGTCGCAAAAAGGTGGAAAATGGGAGAGGAGCCCAAGAAAATCACAGCAGCGATTCAAAGCTTAGAGAGAGTGCCTGGCACCAGGGTGTCAACAATATGGCCCGTGAGCTGGATCCAGTCTGCAGAGCCACGTCCTCTGGCCTGCCGGGCTCCTGGAGGGGCCAGGAATTGGCGGGTGGGACAAGTGGGTAAGCAACCACAACTGAATTGCTGGGTCTGGAGCTGCAGTGGACACGTTTCAAAAGTGGTGGAGTGAATGACAGAGCCGTTAACCCCTGAGGCTCCCTGAGCTGACACCGTTCTGCTCTGATCACTGCTGCCCCTGATGCCACAACTGCAAGGGCGACGGTCTGCATACAGATTGCGTGAACCCCTGCAAGCCAGATCTAGCCCTGAGTGCCAGGAGGAGGCTAAGTGAGTTTAGTCCCCAGGGCCTTATTTACTCTAGTGGAAAAGACTCTGAAGAAACCTGCGGTGCGGCAGGGATGCTGAATTACTGGGTCTGGAGCCGCAGCGGACATGTGTTTCAGCAGTGGTGGAGTGCCACACCAAAGAAACAAAAAAACCCCCCAACCCCGCATCCCCAGAGATGAAGAGAACCTAACTTCAGTGGTTTGGTAGAAATATTCATCTGAGAGGGGTCCCATAGTTGCGGTGGGGCTCTGTCCCCTGCTATTCAGACAAGCCTGCTATAAGGGCCCGTTTGTGAACAGTGTGCTTGTGCCACAAAAATATATATTGGGTACCAAGGGCTCTGCTTATCCCAATGGGAAACACTTGGGAGAAACCTGCGTTCCAGCTGGGATACACAGCTGGGTCTTTCCCATCCCACTTGAATGTCTTGAGTAGCACAAAGTCTAGGCTCATCTGCCATGCTCACCATTTCTCTTCCTATTTCTCTCTCTGGCCATGACACACATACCAGCTTGGAGCAGAGAAAGCTTTTTCCCTTTGCAGCTTTCTTTCAACATCTACCTGACCACCCAAGGATGACCCTCTGAGGAACAAAGGCCTTTCCCAGTTAAACGGTATTAGCAGCTCCTCAAGCAGCTCTACCGTGACTTCCTGAGCTAAAACTACCAGGTTTCTCTTCAGGGCTGTGGAAGCTGTGTTTTCTATGGCAGTGGATCATGTTGGCGTCTTTCTTTCCTTGCATGTCATGAGCTTGTACTTGACACAAGAACACGAGGTCAACATCAAGTCTTATTAGAAAAGGAAACTTAAGCTCAACTTTATTTTGCTACATCTACTCTTAACTTCTATGTTTAACATGACACGTGTTGCCTTTGCCTTCTTCTCTCCCTCCGTGGGCCTGAAAGGCCTGTAAGGCAGGCTACTAACACAACAGGCACCGTGATGGTCTCACTATGCCCAATGCCTCAGAGGAAGGCGAAAAACCCCAGACACGAGGTCTTTCCATGAAGGGGGAAAAAATTCCTTCCTGGCCCCAACTGGCGACCGGCAAAAGCCCTGAGGCAGAACGTGACAAGATTTGGGTCAGTCGGTGGTTTCTGTGGTGGCTTCGGCACTGTTGCAGATTTTCTCAGTAGCCGCCAGGCTCCCCGTGAGGTGTTGGAGGTCGTGTTCGCTCAGGGAGATGTTCTCAGGGTCAAGGTGGTTTCCAGCTGTCGCCATGCAGTGGAAGAAAAGGCAGCCAAAGATTAGATCCATGCATTGCCACCCTGATGCAAAGCTCTGATGTGAGGAGGTGGGGACTGCGAGCTTTCCCGTGACACAAAGGCCAGAACATTTCAACGAGGGGAAAAAAATAGACCGTCGTTAACTTCCTGCGTGGAAGCTGCTGAACATCTTTAGGCATCATTGCCCAGCCACATTCAAGATGATGTAGATGCTCGGCTGGGAAAACCCAAGGCCCAAAACGGCCGTGGTTGAGAGAGCTCAAAGCAGGGAAAGCAGGTCTCCACCTGTGTGAGCCACAGCAACCTTTAACAGCAGGCAGACAGTCCAGCCTGTCCCAGGGTTGCTTCGCCATTTGGGAGAGCTCCCGGGGCTCTTTCCTGAAAGGGGGCAGCACCATGCAGGCCCATGCACACCACTGGGGCCGAGGGGGAGGTTTGTCCAGGGGCAGCAGGGCATGAGGCAAAGGCTCCGCTAGCTGGCCTGAGAACAGCTGTCAATCCCTGCTGAGCTGCGTTGGGTTAGACATCAGTTTGTGACCCCAAGATGTCAGTTGGAGTACTGTGTCCAGTTCTGGGCAATGCACTTGAGGAGGGATGAGGCGAGCATCGAGAGGGTCCAGAGGAGGGCCACTCGCATGATCAGGGGGCAGCAGGGAGCAGGTTTGTGCTAGTGCTGTGAGCCTCCGCCTCTCTTCACACAAATCCCTGCTCCCCAGAGACAGAGGGGACATGACAGAACCTGCAGGAGCAAGTGTGGGCTGCTGGAGAGAGGAGGGGGTCGCGGAGGAGCCGGCCAGCAGGCTGTGCCCTTGCAGTTCTTCAGGCAGCTCTTTGAAGCACTTGATAAGGAGCAGCTTGCTGACCACCCTGACGGGGATTTGCTTCTCCTGCAGGCGCAAAGAGGCAGTCAGAGCCTGTGCTGCTCCATGAAGGACAGGAGATGTGGGAGGGGTCGTGGTCCCTGGACCCAGCGCCATCTCCACCCAGCAGCGTTCCCTCTCAGCTGCGCGGTGTGTGCGGCAGTGCAGGTGCGCCTGGCAGCATGGCATGTGCACACACCGCACAGCTCAGAGGGGACGCTGCCACCCAGCCCCTCCAAGCCCCTACGTGACGTATTGCCCCCAACCTCCAAGACAGGCTCTTCTCTGACTCCCTAGTGAGCCCACAGCCCAGTTCCCAGCCCGTGGCAGCCTGAGCTCCTGTCCCACTCCCCTCACACCTCCTTGGCACCTCTTCAACATACGCCTGAAAGCAGAAGCAGCTCAGGCTCTACAATCTGCTCAAACCTGCCCTCACTCCCCCACCGCCAGCGCTCCCTGCATGGAGCAGGGATTGGGCTGAAACCAAGGGTTTTGGTAGAAGCTCAGTGCAATGCGGGCAGGTTCCCAGAGGGGCTTTTTTCTGAGAGTTACGGTGAAAACAAGGGGTGGCAGCCTGGGGCAATGGGGCAGATCGGTAGGGCCTACTGGCTGAATCCTCCATTCTCCCTAAAGAAAGCTCAGGTTCGGGGGCAGGAGGAGAAATGACCCCTGGCACGCTCGCCTGGGGCCTAGCCCCTGCATCTCTGCAACCAAATCCATCTTCAGCCTGCTGCCTGTTCTTGACCTGGCTCTGAGGAGGCAGAGAGGCGGACCCATGGGCACATTTGGGCCTACGGCAAATGTTTCTCTCTGCTCAGTGGGATACAAACTGCAGGGCTTCCTTCCTGCCCTAGCAGTGGGGACACGGCCCTCTTCCTTGTACCTCCCGAGCACTGTTTGGCACCTGCTTCCTGTCTTTGCAGTGGTAGGACAGTGACAGTGCCCCCTCCCCGCCACACCCGGGGATGGGATGAGAGCGACTTGAGATGGCACATAGAGGCCCTAAGCTCACTCTCCTGCAGCCCCTCACTCCCCAGTGTGACTGCTGACCTTGTGCCCGATCAAGTGGCCAGCTTCCCCCAGGATGGCGTAGAGGTAGACCAGGCCCACTTAGCTGACATGAATCTGGACACCATGAACTGCTGCAAGCACTCTCTGCAGGAAAGATCTCTTCTGCTCCTCCAACAAGATCTTTCTCAAGCCCCGAAATGAGAGGACACGAGGCTTGGTGCTTCCCTCAGACAGGCTGCACTTCTAGGGCCTGGGACCACGTTGCCCTGGACACTTGCATGGCTCTAAGCCACAGCAGGAAGAGCCCTGTGAGCTGGAAAGAAGAAGGAGGCCTTTCTCCACACTCCTTCAGCTTTGCAAGGGCTGGGCACTGCAACCTCACCTCTCCGACTCTCGCCAGGTCCCTGTAGTTCTGGACCTGGCTCTGCTCCACCTGGCGCTTGCACCGCAGCTCCTCTGCCCCTCGCATGTCTTGGCCTGCGACAAGTGGAGACACATGGCTATAAGCTGCCAGACTAGCTTTGGTGTGCAGTGTCTGCCCAGCACGGCTCTGGCTGTGCTTATGGCGGCGTGAAGAGCATGGCCCCAGTTGGGAGGGCATGGTTCTGCAGGAGCCAATTGGGCCCTGCCATCCTGAGACCAGTCTGGGCTGTGGAGGGCTTTGGGATGGGCTCCCTGGTCCCAGAAATCTTCCTTCCTCCCTGCATGGGACACCCAGGACTGGTGCATTAGCATAGGCGGCAGGGCCACAGCTGGGCACTGGGGTGGGTGGGCTGGGGTCATGAGCACTGACACCCTGAGGTGTTCCCAGGTGGAGGATGAAGAGAGGGGGACACAGTGTCTCACCCAGCACCTGGGATCAGGCTTCCGGGGGCCCGTCCTGCGCTCAGGCTGGATGTCCTTACCCCTCTGATGTAGGAGGATTTGTGCCAGCCAATACATGCTCCCCCTGGCGTAGCAGCTGATGCTCTCCACTGGGTTGTTGATGAAGAGACCCAGGCAGGCTGCCATGTCCCCCACCTCAGGCAACTCTGGGGAGCCCTAAGCAGGGGGAGAGGAGCAGAGAGTCCATGAGCGTCCTACCTTCCCTCACTCCACATTCGCAAGGCCCGGCTGTCTCTCTCCGCCTCCCCCCATTATCCAGCAGGAGGGTGGGGAGGCAGAGATCCTAGTGCCAGAGCCGGAGCTTGACATCCCTTTCTTCCCATGGCAACATTGAGCCCGGGGTCTTGCTCAGGGTCCCAGGACGATTCCCTTTGCCTGCTGCTGCAGGGTAGCAAAGGCCCCAGGACCAGGGCTGACCCTGCCTCGAGCACGCCACAGAAAGGAGATCCCTAAAGAGCCAGGGGGCCTGGTCCCAGCTCTGACCTGTCACTCCCAGGAGGGACCTGACAATGGCAGTTCACTGACCTCAAAGTGTGGGAGGAGCTGGACAGCAAAGGCAATCCCCCCGGTTACGATCTTCATGCCCAGCTCTCGGTACAGGGCATCCGGTGCCTCGATCCAAAATGTTAAGTGCTGTGGGATGAAGATGTTCAGATTAATGTGACATGCCCCTGCTGTACCCAGCAGCCTTTCCCGCACCCTCCTCCTCAGTGCCCAGGCTTTGAGCTCGGGCTTGACCGTCTGCCCTACCCTTTGAGAGAGGCTTGCTGAAGTCCATGGGGCTGGAGCCTGTCCCTCCCCGAGTCCAGCCCCTCTGCATCATGCTCACCTCCCAAATGGAGTATAATTTGCCCAGGCTGGGGGCGCTGAACAAGAAGTGGCACAGCAGGCCCTGCAAGTACTCGACGTACAGCCTCTGCATGACCTGGAAGGGGAGGGAGAGCCCAGAATCAGTCCCACGCAGCCGGGGGCCACACCTGCCAGGGGGTGCCTTGTGGGACAGGGCAGTGGCAGGAGCACCTACCTGGTTGCGATGGCTCTCATGCCCTATGGCCAGGAAGCTCTTCTCAATCGCAGCCCACAGGAGGCGTGACTCCAGGCCTGGCTCCAGGCTCAACTTCAGTTCGCTGTCAGGAGAGAGGAGCAGGTGTCAGACTGAGCTCTGCGGGGTGGGGGTAAAACGGGTGGGCAAGAAACTGGCAGCATCTCTGTTCCTGGATTGCCCCTGGCCCATGGCAGAGCTAGGAGACTCGAGCAGAGGTCCCAGTACCTGAGGCTACGGATGGCGTCAATGCTGTACGTGAGGATGTTTCTTCGGTCGGCCTCCACATGGATGTTTTCCATCAGCTCCTGGGACACCCAGAGCGGGGTGAGCTTAGGGCCCCACAGCCCACAGCCACGTCCCACACGGGAGACCACCCAGTGCTCCAGGTGCAGGCAGCAGGATCCCAGCCAACCCGGGAGGTGCCTCACCCGTCCTCCTCCAACCCACACAACCCAGCTGGTCCTTTCCATCCCACGGCCTCGCAAACATGCCTGTGAAACCACTCACCTGTTCTCTGTTCTCACCCTCCTCTGTCCTCCAAAACCGTGACTGCCCCCGGAGTCTTCCAAAATCTCCCTTGTCTGCTGCCCCAGCCCGACACCCAGGCCCAGGTACGCTTGGCCCTCGCTCAGATTCATCTCCACCTCTCCCTTCCTTCCTGGCTCACGAGACCATTTCTCCTCCCCTTCCGTCTCTCCACACCATCCCGTGCTACGAGCTACTCACCACGATCTTCTCTACCACGGACACTTTCAGGCCTTCCACCGCCATGGCCACCTCTGTGCTCTGCTCCGCAATTGTGCTCAGGGTGAGGATTGCTAGCAGGAAGCGCTGCCCATCCTTCCCGTCCAGCGACTAACGGGAGCGATACCGAGGCAAAGGCAGGCTCTCAGCCAGGGGCATCCTGTTCCTTCCCAACCCACTGCAGGACTTGGGCCTCCTGGGAACCGTACTGGGCTGACATGCACCTGGTCCTGGGCCCATACCCACCTTGAGCAGAGCTCATGGCCTGAGTGTCTCCCCTTGCGGGCTTCAGTTTCCCAGGGATGGGATCTCCCCATGGGCTGGATGCGGGAATGCAGGACTGAGTGGGGGCTGGCCCCATTGTGGAAGTTTCATACCTTCCCTGGTTCCTGGAGGTGTTTCGTCACAAGGAGGAGGGCAGTTTCCTGAGGTGGACTCCCATCTTCATCTTCCTCCTCATCATTGTCATCCTCCTCAGTGGCCGGTCTGGGAATCACTGCAGCGGGGAGGAAAGGGGAGAGGGTGACTTCAGGACCCCTGAGAAGAAGGGAGGTGGGGCGTGGGGGGCAGAGATGGTGCCATGCTGCCCTCGCCAGCATAAGAGCCCGGTCAGCAGGAGTCTCACATGGTCCCTCTCCAGCACCCTCCTCCTCCCCTGCAGCCTCCCGCCCCCATAGCTGAGAGGAGGCTGGACTCTTGCTGCTCCGCCAGGAGGTGCCTGTCCCCATCTCAAGTGCCCCTGGCTCCCCCTTCACCCCATCCACACTGTCACCACTTGAAACATGGACAAAGAGGGTCGTGTGGCTCAGCCCCCTCGCCTTCACCGGGATCCACCCGTGCAAATTTTGGAGGGTCCGATTAGCCTCACAGAGTGAATGGCCCTGAGACCTCCAGGCCCCCAGCGGCCCCCCTCACCTGTGCGGCTGGGGGCTGGGATGGTCCCGGACTCCGGGGAGCTGTGAGTGTCCTCCGAGGAGGAGCTGCTGCTGGAGCTGGTGTTTTGGGACTCCTGGGAGCTATTGGAGTCCCCCGAGGAGGAGCTGGGGCTCGGGCTGGTGTTTCGCGACTCCGGGGAGCTGCTGGAGTCCCCCGAGGAGGATCCGTGACTCGGGCTGGTGGTCCCGGACTCCAGGGAGCTGTTGGCCCCAGGAGGAGCCGCAGCTCAGTCTGGAGCTGCTGCACGACTCGCTCAGCTCACGGCCCAGGGAGGACGGGCCCTCGTCCCGGGCTGTGGAGGGGGCTGCCTCCCACTGTGGGCCTGCAGGGTCGGGCTCAAGGCTCCCCGATGACATGGGAGGGGAGCTGCGCAGCTCTTCTGCCTGGCGCTCTTCTGCTGCCGGCTCCTGCTTGCCCAGGTGTACCCAGGGCCACCTCCATTTGGTCCTGGAAGTGGTGGGTTTCCTTTCTTGCTTTCTCCTGGTGCCAGGAGCTGCCCATTTTGTGTCGGGAGCTGCCAGTTTTCTTCGGCAGCAGATGGGGCACAGCCACCTCCTTGCCTTGATGGGCCCCTCATCATCATGGCAGGCGGGACCCAAATCCTCCTGCCCAGGCCCCCTGCTGCTCTCTGCTCCCACGCTGACCACCCTGGCCGACCTCCGCCTCAGCATCCGCCGCAGCCTGTCCATCCTGGCACCCAAGAGGAGCAGTCATGACCTGGGGTTCAGGGCACCCCCTCCAGACCCGTCTGCCCCCTCCCCTGCTCACCCAGGTGACAGGCACATGGACCCTGAGTTCACCTATGCCCCCAGCACCCCTAGTGCTCAGGTTGGCAGGAGGGGAGAGCCCTGGGCTCAGGCTCAAAGACCTGCAACTGGTTTGGACACCCAGCTCCCTGCTCCTGCCTCTCACCGTTTGGCCCTCTTGAGGGGCCAGGGGCTGAAGCCCCTGGGAGCCCAGGCAGCCCCTGCAATGGATCCTGGGGCAGGGATCTGGGAGTGCCAAACTGAGGAGGACAGGGGCCTCTTCCCTGCCACCTGCTAGAGCTTAGCACCACCACAACTTTTGTCTCCCTGCAAACTGAGCCTGGGCAACACTGGCTGACCTGGGAGGGCTGGGGAGCTTCAGCACCTGGGCATGTTTCCATCCCCCTGGAGGTGGTGTCAAAGAGCGACAGGGCATGGGTCACCACGCTGCAGGGACCTGAATTTCCTGCCCCTTTCTGCAGTTCCCTGCACAGGCATGGGAAGCCCCCGCGACACGCTGCTGGCCCCTCACCTGCCCTGGGGGATGGAGCGCTGCTGGGCAGATGTTCGCTGGCCCTCTGGACACCTCACACTCCTCCCTTTGGCTCCCAAAATGAGGCCTCCCTCCTCGCCTCCAATGAATGTCACCACGCTGCCTGGACCCGCAGTCGCTGCCGTCAGATGGGGCTGACGCCTACCCCTGAAAAGGACTATGCCACCGCGTTGGAAGCCATCCTCTTGCACAGCCCCTTTCCCTGGAACAAAACGGCACCTCTCCTCCCTCCTGTCCCGTTCCCTCTCTGCTGGCCCCTGCCAGCAATCATCTTCCGCCCAGACCTTCGCTTGCGGGCCCTTTCCTGACATGCAAGAGAAACTCCTGCCACCCTCCTCACTCCGCTTCTTGCACCTCGCAACTGTTTTTGGCTTCTCCCTTGAGCTCGTCTTCATGACTGGTATCACCCAGGGAAGACCAATGCCCCTGCTCAGCACAGTCAGTAAAGGTGGCTCTAATTGGATTGCGCCAGTGTTTTAGTCCGCACGGGCTGTGCACCATGCTTCAGTCATCCTAGCAGGGAAGTGACCCATGGAGGGGGAGGCGTTTCGAAGCTTTGTGACACCTGAGCTGGAAAAGGTGGACTGAATCGAAGATAAAACACATACAAGATTAGAGCGCAAACATTTCGTTCTGGGTAGGGGTGTCTTCCAGAGCATGCCCAGCTCCTGCTCCCTCACACACAGCTGGGACGGGACGTTTGCCAGCCCGTCTCCAAAGCAAGAGTCCTGTTGGCTCCGTGTTTGTTCTTCACTTTTTTCCGAATACAGGCCACAAGCCTGAAAGCAGAGAGACCCTCGCTCCCCTCCCAGCTCTGCCCCTGCCGGAGCCTCTGGCACCGTCGCCTAAGGACCCAATCGTTACCTGCTCCCTCCTCGGTGAGAGATCACAGAGCGAAATCCTCCCTGCGACTGGTTCTCCTGTCGCTCTCCAGCTAGGGTCTGACAGTTGGGATCAGAAATGAGACAGGACTTGAACATCGCATGAACACGCATGAACTACTGCCCCTGGATGGTGATTTCACCCAGGAGATGAATGCTCAGCTGGGGAATTGACTTGGGATTGTGCTTCAACTCTCGCTGTCTTTAAAACGGAGGAGAAACCGCATCTCCAGGTGCCTGTGTTGTGTGGGTGCGGTGGCTGCACTTCCTCCCTCCGGGAGAGGGGGCAGTGCACTGTGCACCCGCCTTACCCGTGTCCCTGCAGACAGCGGGCACCCGGCAGCACCGCTCCAGCCTCCGCCTGCAACTGCCTGGAACCCGCAGCGCCGCGATGATAAGAGCGCTGCCGCGGCGACGCAAGGGGACGAGTTCCACCGCCCCCCCACACCCAGCGCTGCAGCCCCTCCGGCCGCCAGCCCAGCCTCCATTTCCACCTGGCCCACTCTCCACACTGCCTGGGGATGGGCGTCCCTCTGGCCAGACCTGGAATTGCCCCAAATCAAGGGCAGGTGGAGGAAATGCCCAGTTCTCTCACCCACTTTGCCAGAATCACCTTGTTTTTCACCCGTGCCAAAATCAGCAATGGGTACGGTCCCCTTTGCATGCAGCTATGTGCACAGCAATGCATCCCTGCTGACCAGCTACACCCCTGCCTCGTTCCCTTGGCTTGCTCTGCATTCCCTTCTCCAAACAGATGTGGTGGACCAGACTCAGGGCCATGCACCAACCCTGCACCCTAACCGTAGCTCAGCCTGCTCCAGCAGGAGACCCCACGCAACCTGGCTACAGCAAAATCTTGGAAAGCCCAAAACCCCATCGCTAGGCCCAGCTGCAAATTTCCTTGCTGCCAAAACACTTCTTGAATCCAACTTTAAGCGGGGTCCCACGCTCCATCCAGCTTCTTAGCAGCGTGGAGGAGGCCAGGCACCTTTGTCCTAATACAGCACTAATAGGGAGTCCTACTAATCGCAAGCAGAAAGACAGCTCCACACTTGCTTGTTCTCGATCCCGAATAATAACATCAGGCCCAGCCCCATTCCCACTTCAGGCTGCTGCAGCAGCCTCAGGCAGGAGACCCTCAGCAAGCTGACTATAGGAAATGGCTGGGAAAGACCCACATGCACCTTGTGGAGCCCAGCGCTGCTGCTTTTCCAAACCTAAGCATACATGGGGGGCCCAGGGTCCACCCCACTTCCACGCAGCATGGTCTCTAGTCAAACTCCCAGTGTCCAACAAACAGCAGTGGGAGCCCTACCTTTGCCAAGTAGAAAAGCACCAATAACCCTTCACATTGTCTCACCCCACACAAACTCAGGCTCCTTTAGGAGCCCCCAGCCAAGTGACCAGAACATCTTCACTGCACAATTCCTGGGGGAAAGCCCCAAACCCCACCACTGCGCCCAGCTAGGAGATCTCTTGCTCGCAACGTGCACTCTGAGAAAGAGGACACCTCCCACATTCAAGCCTGACTCCACCAGTGGGAAACCTCCCAGACCAAATGCTACGTGGTGGCCAAAAGTCCAGCCCTGGTCTGATTAATTGCACGGAGGAACATGCACACGTCCGGAGCAGACCTGCAGGAGTCCCACTGTGGTAAAAATGTCTCATCTCCCTACACAAAGGCTTCGCAGCTGAGAACTGTTTAGTTTCACTACATAATTGCTTCTGCATATTATCACACTTGCTTCTGCTAAGGTATGTAGGCCAATGATAGATTTACGAGTAGCACTAGACTTCTGCAACCACCCAGCTGATGCACACACTCAGCTCTAATCCTGACTACAGGACCTGGCTTGCAAAGCCCCCAAACCCAGCTGCCCAGCCCAGCCTGGAGGCCCTGAGATTCCTAAACAGCCCTGGAGCAAGAGGAGCCCTTCCACACCGGAGACTCACCACACCGCCATGAACCCTCCCAAACCCAACCCAGGTGGGTCCCCAGCAACCCTCCCACTTATAATAGCTAGGACAAGTCTACCTGTCTGCGGCCTAAATATTACCCCAGGAGGCCGGCCCATCCCAAACAAAAAGACAGCTCTGAACTTTTCCCATTCTCTGACCTGAACTCTAAAGGTAGCTCCCACTGCTCCAGCTCTCAGCAAGAGTATCTAAGGAGCCTGACCCGAGGAAGTCTTGTGCACTGGGCTGTGCAGCACCCAAGCCGCAGTCCAAAGCCCAGCCCGGAGATCCCAGGCCACCCAAGCAGCTGGGGAGCAGACGGAGCCCTGCACTCTGCACTGCTGAGCAGAGTCTGTGGCTCAGGACAATTCCTGCTCACTGTGTTGTCCTCAGCAGACAGCTCTTAGAGCTGGAGGGATCTTCCCTCATCACCCCAGTGTCACTCCTTCTGCCATCTCCTTCAGGGGAGATCAGGCCCAAGACAGTAGCCTGGCTCCCAGCTCTGAGCCTCTTGAGCACCACCACCACCATGGCACTGGGGCTGTGGCTGGTAGCAGAGCTCGTCTGGGTAAGGTTCAAATCAGTTCATAGAAAATATGTTTGAAGGGAAAGAAAACCTTTCTGTCCAAAACATTACAGACATTTGGATGATCATTGCTACGTCCTTGAAAGAAACACAGAAATTTGCTGGGAGGGAGGGGAGGAGGGCTGCGGGAGGGGTGGTCTGTGATTCTGGATAGTGGGAAAGGAGCATGAGCAAAGCAATGGCTTGCTACACAGCTCAGATTTATTCCAGGGTGCAGTGCTCTACCTGCTCTGCAATTATAGAAGTCACACACGAGGGCACCGTCCCATCTTTCTGTCTGTTTAAAATGTCTTCCTCTGAGACTGTGAGAGGGGAGTGGGCTCAGCACTGGACTGTAGGCAAGTGCCTTAGGATCATAGGATGGTAGGCCTGGAAGGGACCTCACAAGGCCATCTAGTCCAGCCCCCTGCTCAAGGCACCAGCATCCCTGACTAAACCATCCCTGCCAAGTGTCTGTCTAACCTGCTCTTGAAAGTTACAAAGGATGGAGCTTCCACAATTTCTCTGGATAGCTGGTTCCAATGTTTGACCATCCTAATAGCAATTGTGCAAGAGTTGCAAAATGATGTGGGTTGCCCAGTTTCAGCCAAATGTTTGCTACGCTTGGAACATACAAGCCCCAGGGCACAGCTCCTCCATAGAAATACTCTTGGCAGGGACTGAAATCAGGGACCAGTGCAGGCAGTGCCAGCCGAGGCCAGAGTGAGGCCAAGCCCAGCAGCACCAGTGACCCCAGGGTACCTGGAGCAGCAGGGCAAGCACTTGTGCAGCTGCTAGTTAGAGTATTCCTAAGGGCAGTGGCCCCAGCTCACAACCCCTTAGCCCTGACAAGCTGCTTGGCCATATAGCCACAGCACCATGTGCATCATGGGCCAAGGTTTTATTATAGAATCATAGAAGTTAGGGGTGGAATAGATTTCAGGAAGTCATCTAGTCCAACCCCCTGCTCAAAACAAGACCCTCTCCA